GAGCCGATTGGGGCTTACGCACATGGAGCATAAGGCACCTGCGCAACACTCCACTGAGCAGCTGGCGTGTCATGGGCGGTAAGTATGCATGCCCGTGCTGTGCACGGGCAAGTGGTGGACGTCTGGCCCCTGTGCACTGTACTGATTGCAACGGGATCCGGAACCCACCACTGCAGCAAAGCTTAAAGTCTTAAACTTGCCACGGTTGGAGGCCCCTGCTTTAGAAAAAAGGGAAGATATGATAGCAGTATTTCAGTATTTGAGAGGCTGCCACAAAGAGGAGGGGTTCAGTTTATTTTACAAAGCACCAGACGGCAGGATAAGAAACAATGGATGGAAACTAATCAGGGAGAAAAGCAACCTGGAATTAAGGAGAAACTGATTAGTGAGGACAATTTACCAGTGGAACAGCTTGCCTTCAGAAGTTGTGGGTGCTTCAACACTGAAGGTTTTTAAGAGACTTGCAGATATAGATTCAGATTAACAGATTTGGAAGGGACCTTGTAGGTGAAGAGATTACACAGTCACTTGTCTGAAATGATATAAGGTCTCCTGCTTGAGTAGGGGGCTGGACTAGAAGACCTCCAAGGTTCCTTCCAGCTCTATTCTGATTGTCTGATTGACTTATCCAATAATCTATTCTTAGTACAGTTACTTGTACATACATATTCTGGAAACACCCACAATTCAATGGTATAGATATGCAAAAAGTTGCTCTAACTCAGCAGTCGAAAAAAATGTTAGAAGAACTGACTGCTAAAATTCAGAAGAGCTAATTGTAGAGTAGTTATATAAAGGACAATAGTCTTTAGGAAATTTCTAGAAATCTAATAAAAAGTGCATTTATCTCCATCCCAATGATTTAAATATTGACTAAATTTGAATATGACGAAAGTTTAATAAAGTGGCAGATAAGTTTCATGTCTTGAGAAAAATACAGTAGAAGCTTTGTTTTTTTCTCCAGCAATCTCTGATACAATTTAAACTTTTTTACTTCAACAAAGAAGCGCAGCACAAATTTCCCAGATGTGAACATCTGTTTCTCATATGCTTCAGCCAAGAAAACATGAGAAAGATTAATGACTCCAAATACAGAACTGGTCAGTCATAACAAGGAAGACTTAAGAATACTCTGGAGTGATAGTTCCTATTATTAAGTCTCCTTTAAATTCCAGACCTAGGACATCTTCCGACGCTTCAACATGAAATATATATTTATCCTTATTCTAAAGTGAAACCTAATTATGCTCTCTTTGAAACGTAGGGGGAGGAGCAAAATTCTTCACATACTTTTTTTACAACTTAGGATCTAATTCCAGGCCACTCACAAATCAAAGATTTGGCAAGCAAGTAAACCCTAAGCTCTGAAATGATTAGAATTATCATCCAAAGTAGAAGTTTGGTACATTACTATCATTCAAAACTAAGGACATGTATTTATCTCATAAACATTTTCTCCAGCCCAGAAGCCAATCTGTGAATAGGAACATATGATAGATTCTAAGAGCTCACACTTGAGAGTAAGGCGTGGGTTACCTCTCAGTGATAGTTAGGAAAATTTGCTCAGCTTCTGGGCAAGATGTCCTGCCTTTTCCCTACTATGGGCCTCTTCTAATGCACTGAATTAAGTGCCCCAGGATTCACAGCTACTCTGCTAGAAATATCACAGTGTGGAAGGTTGACTGATTTTTAAAAACCTATCACCATATATAAAGGAAACTGATGTAGCACCATATGCCTGACAACAAAGTTTAGAAAGATTACAAAAATTCTTCTTGTAGTCTGAGATGACAAGCTCACACTATTCCCTGCTGCATTCTTGAAAGGCCATAAAATATGGATTGCAAAGAAATGCACTCACTCCCATTGCACAGGGCCATCAGACAGCATGCATCAGAAATAGGTGGTGATCTATGGGAACAATACAGCAATTCTAAGAGCTTTTTGAAAACAATGGCATTTGGTATTGGTGCTCAGTGTTAAGCTCAATGCTCATCACAAATAATGTGATGTGTTGCTTCACATTTCACTGGCACGATGCATACTTAGCATGAGGTCTCAGGTTCAATCCCTAGTTAAAAGGAAAGTTCTTAGTTTGGGCCTTGGAACACTAATGCAGGTGAGAATAAATTTAGACAGGCCACCTGCACACTCAACCGAAATTTTTATGCCGCCCACAGCCAAATTTCAATAGTCCTCAACAAGCAGCCAGATCAGATTTCTGGCTAGAATAATCTGATCTGTTTTGTTATGAGGACTAGAGTGGAGAAAGTGGGGGTGGGGGAGGGGGGGGATCAATAATCTGTCTACTTTGTGATCTATACCCACTGAAGGCTTCAGCCTTTCTATGTGGCTGGTTGGTGCATGCACTCTTGAAGGGAATATGACTGACCTTTGGAGTTCCAGCCATCCAAGCACCCTCCCATCATGCAATCGCAATCTGGGCATTTGGCAACCAGTTTACACTTATAATCCATTGCAGGGATCCGCAATCATGTGATCATCAATTGCAACCTTGATTCCATTCTATACTTACACCCTCCAAGAAACTTTAGGAACGCCTCAGGCCCCTCACTGCTGCTGAGGCGAAGTTTCGAGCCTGGAATGTAAGCCACGCTACTGCCGGTCTCCTCCTGGTCCTCTGTCCCCTGTGGCTTCAGGTTTCTCTCTACAGCCGGTGAGGACAGCCTTGGTATCTTCCTGCAGCGATCTCCCTTGTTGCTGTGACCAGCTGTGCGGCGCTCGAGAAAATGGCTGCTGATTAACGAGCGGCTCCGATTCGTGCCAAAAAACAATGCCAACGAAGCAGGCAAAGGCCTGGAGACTTTCCCAATGTTCGGGGGCTTGTCTTGCTCCTTTGTGGCTGTGGAAGCATACAGGAATTTCCCTCTGGCTGGGGGGGGGGATCCCGGTGAGGCTGCAGGTTCATGAGCGGCTCTTGCCTCTTCCACATGGAGTCAGCTTCCTAATTGCCACAGGGAGTGGTGCCGATCGCACTCCTAGGCTGCCGGCGGCTTCGATGCACGGCCACCACTAACCAACTCCAATTAATTTTTTCACAGACTCTGAAGATTTTAGGATGGTCCAGGAATAAAGAATTATGTTGAGCCAAGGAAAAATGTTCTCTCTTGGGCCAGACTGAGTCAAAACCGGGGCCAAGGAAGAAGAGTCAGAGTGGCTAAAATTATGACTCAGTCTCTGGGCTGATTAGGACATGATAATCCCTTTCCTGGACCCTCCCACAACCAACCCTGGAGAACATCTCAATGCACCCTGATGCAACCTTCCCTGACCCTCAACATACACTCCCCAATCCACATCACACCCTTGCACGTTCTACCTGACCGTAACTGCATCTACTGAGCACCCACACACTCTTTCTCCCACACTGGCAGGAGTCCATTACCTGCCTGCTGGCCTGGGATTTGCAATTTCCTGACTTCCTCACTAAATTTGTTATGGGAAGGCAGCAGGAATTTGTCTCTTCTAACAACCATAGGATTCTGTTAACATGGCAACCCTTGATCTGACATCATTAATATTTGGCTTGACCTTGGACTGCTCAGTTTGGAAACTTGCCTTGCTCAGCTATGTCTTTTTACAATTAATTTGATTAAGAATTTCTCACCACATTGCTGTTGGGCATTACACATGCAAGTCTTCCCCTTAACACTAGATATGCCTATGAATTGTACCTGGTTTCTGAATAAGTATTATAAAAGCCAGGATGTGAAAACAGCAGGCAAAGCCTTTGGAATAATGGACCTCCTATCTCCCATTATACCGTGTTTCTCTGAAAACATGACCCACTCCAATAATAAGCCCAACCCTAATTTTGGGGGTGGGCCTAATATTACCCTTACCCTGAAAATAATGGAATGGGCATGACCAGCAGGAATGGTGGCACGGAAGCGGGGGGGGGGGGGGAACTGTCTGGTGCAACTGCAGTCCATTGGCCCCCTGGGGCAGTGCAAATGCCGCTTTTGCCCTTTTCTTTCTGGGGGCAGCGCTTCTGCTTGTTGGGTCACTTCCCTGAAGCCAGCAGCTCTATAGCCAGCTGCTTTGCTTTTTCTCTCTTTTTGGGAGGCTCATGGAAGGCTTTTAGGCGAATGGGAGGAAAATGGGGAGGGGGGACTTTCCTGCCTGTCATTCATTCCTCAAGTAAGCAGAGACTGAGGGAAGAATGGCAGGCAGGAAAATTCCCCCTCCCCATTTTCTTCCCATTTGCCAAAAAGGCTCCATTCCGAAAAGTGAAGGTTCGGAATGGAGGCGATGGTGCATCCACATTGTGTCCAGCTCACTGAGTCTGGCCTGCTGCACCTCAAAAATAGTAAGACCACCTTGAAAATAAGCCCAAGTGCTTATTTTCAAGTCTAAAAGAAAATAAGACTCGGTCTTATTTTCTGAGAAACATAGTAGCTGCCCAACCAGTTTGATCTAAAAAGGTTGGCATGTTCCAGGTTCCATCAACTAAACAATGTCACCTTATCAAGAGCCTAGAAGTGCACCTTCTCTGTTGCAGTGCCTGACCTCTAGAAGGAAGTCTCCCCCCCCCCCCAAAAAAAAATTTTTTTTTG